ATCCTCACTCAGCCATGAATGTCAGCTTGGGCCAGTTGCTACCTCTCAGCTGCGCCCACCTCACAGGATTACTATTTACAGACCATATAAATCTGGGCTATAGTTTTAAGCCTGGAACACAGACAAAACCACGTACACAATGTTAAGTTTTTGTCACTGTGGCACTTAGAACATGGCCATTCCTTTCATCTCTCTGCAGCTGCCAGGAAGGTGGAAGGACGTCAGAACACATCTTTTTTGTCAAAACATTCCTCAAATTGCAATCCGGGGTTTGGTCAGGTAGTGTGAGGGAGCGAAGCTTGTGGAAATCAGACCGCCCTTTTGGGATTTGTTTGTTGTTTGGTCTTACAGCAACTTCCATTTAGTTGTTTACATGCCTGCACAGACAGGGTGTAATTTCCACAAATGTATAGCGTGTTGAAAGAATGCCTGTCCAACACGACGTGGCTAATTAAAGAGTTAGGTGTGTTCCATCTCTTTACTGCAAACAAGTTTCCGGCTCTGAGAACAGCAGCTGAGTGGAAACAGGAAATACAAGCATGCAGAAGTTATACTGTGTATTTGCTTCCAGAAAGGGCACTCAAGTGATAAGCGTTCCCTTGAGTCTCTGTCCTCTGTTTGCTATTCAATGTGTACATATTTGAAATGTTTCCATAAGGCTCAGGACATCTCCTAGGCAGCCATCTTTACTTTGGTCTCCAGGATATAGAGTTTGGTGGGCCAGTTCTGCATGATAGACTTGGAGGAACTTCACAGTTTGTAAGGGACACCTCCATCTACTGACCCACCGTCCTCAAAAAACCTCCACAGCCTAATGTGGACTGACCCTCCTCAGCAGTCATATGAGGTTGAACATCTGGTGAGTGGGATGGAGAGGTGCGTCCCAAAGAAAAATGTCTGGAACACTGCACAGGGGCACTGAATACCAAAACATTTTGTTGCAGGCCCCGCTCCTAACATCTGGTGTCCTTTATTTCTGATCTTGATACAGTACTGTATATTTCTTTTCCACCAACAAACCCAAGGTGGTGTATGGGCTCCCTTTCTCTCCACTTTGTCCTCAGAAAAAACCCTGTGAAGTAGGTCAGATGGAGAGACTGTGAATGACCCTTGATCACTTAGCAAGCATCATGATCATCATTATGTGCATTTTATTACCAAAGCCCAAAATACAGAAATGTCCTAACCAGTTTCATGGCTGTGAGGAGTTCATTCTGCTGCCATAGTGAGAATTCCTTTGGAGGGAAGAGAGTTGCAATTAGTCTTTCCGGCCTAGTTACAAGCCTCTGATTGATCATGGAAAATTGATAAGCCCAGCCTGAAGGAGGCTCCCCTTTTCACTTGAAGTTCATCCAGAGGCTGTCTAGATGAAGATGTGAGCAAGGAAATAAAGCTATCACTGAACTCTCCTGGCGTTCAGCCCCTAACTAGTTCTGTTTACTTGCTTCTGATGTCATTTTCCGATTTAAAAATATGAATAATGTGGATTGGTTTATAGGGATGATCAGGAAGCTTGAAGTCCCACCCACTTCCTTAAACAATTTTGTGGTAAGAAAAACAATTAGGATTCTGTATCGGGTGCCCATCCTGCTCTGATAACTTCTTCATAGACTTGTAAGGGGCTGCTGTCAGAGGGTCCCGAGTGCATGTATTTTACATGTATGTGATGAAATAGTTTGTTTGGATCTTAGGCCACCACAGACATGAACTGTTCTTACTGCAGATTAAGTAGGCAACTCTATCTTTAATGTAAAACCCACTTCCCACGTTCCTGGAAAGCTGTTGCCAATCATAGTTTGGTCATTTCATTTAAGATATGTCTCTATGTCAGCTCTGCTTTAAAGAAACAAATTTCTGTCCCTCATCGCTATGGGGGGGGCACCCTTAATAGGTGTTCTCATTTAAAAGAAAAAAGCACCCTGTAGAACTTCCACAGTACAATCTTTCGCATTTCTGTAGAGGTGTGTGAAGAAGACCTACAGTCAGAGAGCCATTGTTGCTGGTGGAGACACTGGTGAATTGCCAGTGTGGCAGAGAATTTGAAGCTCGTGCAGAGCAAAATGTTGAGGGTGGTGAGCCGTTCCCACATCTCAAGACGTTCTGTTTCCAAGACACCCATCTTGAGAAGCCTCTGTTCAACGTGCCTCCCCCTTCCTCCCTCCCTCCCCCACCCCCTGCCCGCCTGGGCCAGTCCTCTATATTGTTAGACTGGGCTAACTTTGCCAGGCAAAAGATTACAACTGATTGGCCCCTGAACTTTACGGGCCTGTTTGAGTGCAGGTGAGTTTGACATTGTAGCAGGAGGGATCAATGCTAGACATGAATGCAAGGCCTGTCCTGTTTGGGAAATATATGTGCAGTCCACATGCCAGCCAGCTTTTCTGCCCTCAGTTCTGCCAGTTCTAAAGTGCTTGGAAGTACCCATGGGGAAGAGGTGAAGTTTGACTGAAGGAGGCAAAGCTATTTGATCTTGTAGATGATCATCATCACTGATATTTCAACAGTTTCCAGAGAGTTTTGCCTATGTCAGTGACTTGGAATTGATGCAAAGGCAAGATCGCCTTGCCAGTAACAGCTCTGTGACTGTTACTTGCACATCCAGCAATGTGGTTGACAACTGAGCATCCTTTTGCAGGGGGGAAAGACCAAGGAGGCGCAGACTACGTGTCAAAACTGCTCTTAAGGTTCTCTGTGCATGTCCAGTTATTTGCACTCCTGTCGTAACAGTTCCGTCCCCAGCCCCCCACCCTCAGTATTGTAATCTTTGTCTGATTATAAACAGATTTGCACTCTGTTGGGGAAATGGCCAGAGGGGTGGGGGTGGGGGAAGACACAGCATAATGGCTGTTTGGCAGTTGACTCTGCAGCTTGGCAGCTAATGGTGCTGTGGTAATTAGATGCAGGAAGCCATTTCCTTTTAAGAGGCTGGCTTACACTGAGCCCATTTGGGGAGAGGGGAAGAACTTATGTGTACTTGGAGCAGGAAAATTGGTTTGCCTGCTGTACAAAAGCAAGTGCGGCTATTCCGCCCTCTTTTTAATTTTTTTTAAAGCATCACCACCACCACATCTAACTGGAATGTTCCAATGGCAGCAACACGACAAACTACAGAACATTGTTGTACCAGCATGGTGGTGGTGGTTTGCCAGATTGTAGATGGCATTTAGAAAACGCTTGGTCTGTCTTGAGTGTTACCGTATATGTGGAAGTTAGCTGCATAAACTGAACCTCTGCAGCCCAAGGGCTGATCTCCTCACCTGTATACAGAAGTAGGACGGGTAATTTGCAGTCGGTGGGCCATATATAGCCCTGGGCCATTGGCCACTTGATGCCCCTGTTGAGAGAACTCCACCTCAGAGCTCGGCTCCACTCCCTTACCTCTCTGCCTGCCCCAGTGAATTCTCCAGGGTCACTCCCCAAGGCATTCTGCAGGGTGGGAGGACGATGACAGCTTGTTCCTGAAGCTGAGTTGAAATCATCTCTTTCTCACAAATGAAGAACCAAAGAAGCTGTCTTATACTGTATCAGAGTCTTGGCCCATCTAGCCCACTGTCACCAGCTCTGACTGGCAGCCATGGCTCTCTGGGGCTTTAGGCAGAGTCTTTCCTAGCCATTCCCGGAGATCCCTGGTATTTCTGGCTGGTCTGCCATGCAAGGATTCACCAAGAGGACTAATTAGCTTTTCCAGTCAGGCAGGTATTGATTGTGGGTGGGCAGGATGGTAGAAGGCAAATTGCTACTTCATTGGTTCCTGATGAACGGGTAGATGCTGACACTCTTTATCTTTTCTCCCAAAAGGGAAGAAATTATTGGCAAATAGAACAGAATTTCTGATAGTTGCTGTAGAACATAATACCTAGCGATGCGGGTGCACTTTGGAGCAGTTAAACAAAAGGTCCCACATGCAATCCCCAAGGTCAGAAACATATTGTTCTAGGGTGACAGCATGCCAAGATCAAGTAGTTAGGCACTTCCTTTAATGTAAACACTGGAGTTCAAAGAGTTCTCTCCTCAGTGGAGCTCCGAAGGAATTGAGTAAGCAGCAGCTTCAGTCTTGGCAACTGGGGATGTAGCAACAACAACAACTGCATATTTCTGTGATCAAGCAAGAGTGAAGTGATAACACATGTATGCTGTTCAGGCAGTTGAAATGGCTTGTTTTTTTGTGGTTGCGTCATGCTGGAAGGAGAAGATGGACAGGTGATCCAGCATGCTGGTGCGGTGTGTAGGGCTGGAATCTGGGAAAGTTATGGGTTGGCCATGGATCAGATGCTGGTTTTCCAGGGTCCCAACTCACAAGGAGACCTCCCACAGAGGCCCTCCTTTTCAGAACACAAAATGTCGGAACCCCTCATGAATGGCACACCTCTTGATGCCATCTCGTGTGTCTGCAGCCATTCTTTATGGATGATGCTCAAAATCATTTAGACAGAGGTGGGATCAAAGGCGACAGCAGTAAACCATGCAGGGCAAAAGAAGAAAACGCCTAGGTGTTTACCTCCAAGTATTCATGCATAATAGTTTCATGTATGTAGAATAGACATAACTGGATATCTGAGAAGCTATTTTCTTGAACAGTGACTAGAATACCACACTGGTTGGCATGACTTGCAGAGGATGTTTGCCTCCAGACATTTCCAAGGTCTGGAAGTAAAGAGACGTGAAGATTTTATTAGGTCTTTGGCCTGAATCCAGCAGTGTCAGCCTGTGGGATGGACTGCTGAATGGTGGGTCAGCCCTTCTATAAACCCCACTGGTCTTGATGTGTTTGCCCTGCCTAGGGACCACCACCGCTTGGATTCAGACCTGTTTGTTTAAGCCTGAATGGCCTTTCTTCGCTTAACGTGCAAATTTGAACATGTGAATTAAAACACGGGTATTCTTTCAAGTTTGGAGGAAAGATGGATTTAAATCCAACTGATAAATAGCTTCAGTGAAATGCTCAGTAAAGATAGGTAAATTTTCTTTCTATTTCCTCTGCTCTCCTTCTGTGCTTTCAGTTAAAACTGAAAGTGAAGTCACTGGTCTCTAACTGCACGTTCTGACTTTTGCCTGCTGGGATGATGGCACTCCCTTTCCTAAAAGACCTGGACAAATACAAGGATCTTGATGAAGACGAAATCTTGGGGAAGTTAACGGAAGAAGAGTTGAAGCAACTGGAGACGGTGCTGGATGACCTGGATCCAGAGGTGTGTATTGGCCTTTCTGGGCAGGTCCCTTGTTTCTCCTGCAAAGCTTACCGTCGTCTCCCTTTCCGTTAGACCAACCTGGAGGATGAGGCAGTCCAAGAACTGGCGCACGTCATGGATAGTAAATGCATTAGCACTTGGGAGACCTGGGTGGTCATGGGTCTCTCGCTCTCGCTCTCAGCCTGACTGGCCCTCTAGGATTGTGCTGGGGGGGGGGGAGAGATTCACATGCCTCACTGAGCTTATTAGAGGGAAAGTGGGCCCTGCCTGTAATGAATCAACAATCACCTGCAAGTCAAAAAAATATGGGACCGAGGCTAAAGAAGCATGAGTGAAATTGGCTACCAGTCAGTGCTCTTGCATGAATGGAAAGCCCCCTACTGGGGTGTGTGTGTGTTTATTTCTACCCTCAGGGTGGGGGACAATCTGTGGGTCATTTGGAACAACCGAAAACAAACAAATCTAGATTAAAACTGTTTCAAAGGGTTAAAAACTATTCTTCTGAAACAGAAAAAATGACTTGCAATCTAACTGATCAGAAACCAGGCCATGGTTCTGCTAAGCCCCCACCCCAAACGTTTAATAATCCAAAATGAGGGCAGGGTTCCTCTGGAGAAGGAAGGGCACTCCACAGCTCAAGGTTGCAACCAGGAAAGCCCTCTCATTGCCTTGCAGTGTGCTGCTCCCAATGGGCAAATAAGTGGAGGAGTTCCTTCCCTTCCTGCCCCCACCAGGTAGGCCTTCATGAGCAAGCAGGTGGTCCTCCAAAGGCAGCCTTCCCCAGACATGTTGGGCTACAGCTCCCACCAGCCTCAGATAACAGCATAGCCAGTAGCTGTGCCAGCTGGGAGTGATGGTTTTGCAATCCAGCATGCTTAAAGGCACCAGGTTAGGGGAGGTTTCTGTCATGGTTGAAGCACAAGCAGTTTTGAATTAGGAAGCCTGTCCAAAAGGTTGGGCTACATGGAACTGTATGCACCCCAGTGGATATGGCTCAGATATTTGCCCAGGAGCTACAAACTGCTACGGGTGAAGATTCCAGAGAAGGGCCCACAACTGGCATTATGCAGTTGTATTTAAACAGTGGATTCTGCTCACAGATTTCATTTCACTTTTCTTGTGCAGCACTCTTCCGCTGTGTTGGAAATAGCCTTTCCTTGACCTGGAGGTGTTCTCCACTTACAGGATTTGTCTAGGCTTGTAAAAATAACCCACAACAAAACAGAAATTCAGCTTCACTAGTAAAGGCAGCACAGGTTTTGTGGGGTTTTTTTTGTTTACAGTAGCGGCATCAAGATATACTCGGTGTCTGGCAGTTTTTTCCCACCTGCAAACCTGTGCTGACATGAGAAAGTTTGCACAAGGCAACACAAGTTGAGGAGAGAAATGAATGGAGTTCCCAAGCCTGGAGAGAAGGTTTAGAGGTGGGAATGATAACCAGAGACAAAATGGGGATCGGACCGGGGAGAGCATAGGAAAGATACTTCTTTGGGACTATCCATGCCCCTTAAAGTCTGGTCCACCTTGGCCAGCCTGCCCAGCAACCACATGTCCACAGAACTGGCCCTGGGGGTCCACAAATGTTTGTCCAAGCCCAAGGGCAACCCTTAGGACCTTGGCCTAACTTCCCCCCCCTTCCTTTTGTCATCTATAAAAGCATCCCCTTTGGCCACATGCAGAGTGCTTTTGGGTTGGGTTGGTTCAATGAGTGGCTTCTGTCCCTCTTTTTGTTTGCCACATTGCAGGTGGCTCCCCGTTTGAGAGAGAGAACCTTCTTCCTCCTTTGTTTTCACAGAACGCCTTGCTGCCAGCAGGATTCCGGCAGAAGGACCAGACTGCCAAAAAGCCCTCTGGGCCTTTCGATCGGGAGAAGCTCCTTTCCTTTTTGGAGAAACAAGCCTTGTCACTGAAAGATGTGGAAGACTATGTCCCATACACGGGGGAAAAGAAAGGTGAGGGCTCCGCCAGAGTGAGACCGTTTGGGTGGGTGGCTCGTCCTGCACTCTTCCTTCTTCTCTCTTGTGGTGTAAAACGTTTTGCTCCACACAGTTGGCCATTTGGATAGACATGGGGTCCCTCACGCCTCTGGGAGGGGAAGGAATTGCACCCATTTGGACTCCATGTGCAATTTGTCATCTGAGTGGTGTGCCTGAATGGTGTGTCTGGGGGGAGGAAAGGGTTTGCACGGAGTCCCTCCCTATACAAACGTGAACTTGTTCCTCCAGATGTGCACGCTGCTTTTTTTCATATTGAGAAGGTGACAAGGCTTTCTCCATGGGCTCAGATGCAAGCAGCACTTGCGTGTTCCACAAATGCAGTGGAACTTAATCACCATCCTCCCTATGGCAGCCCTGCATCTTACCTCCTCCTTCCCAATAAGGAGAAGCTGGGGAGGGGGAGGAAGGGGCCTTCCAAAATGGGGATCTAGTGTAGGGTGGAGAACGGTGGCTGTGGGTGGAGGAGGTGCTGGAAACACATCAACATGGCTCACCGTGCAAGCCCAAGGAAGCATCTTTGGATCTGGGCCACTGTAGTGACCAGCATTTTGAATTCTTAAATTCACCAGTTGGTTGATATATCTGGATTTTGTTTCGTGTTGTGTGCTGTTAAGTCGGAACTGACTTAGAGTAACTCTAATAGAGCTTTCAAGAGAAGTGAGATAATTTAGGGGGTGGCTTTACCAATCTCTCTCACACACGCACACACACACACCTGTGAGCTTCCATGGCCAGGCAGGGTGTCCAACCCAGGCCTCCGGAGTCCTCATCCATCACTCTGCAATGCAGTAGGAACCCTTTTCTTTCTTAGTAGAACCCAAAGTCCACTAACAGGAGCAGGGTGCAGATCGGGGGAGAGCTCTTGGGGAGTGAAGCCCCAGTAGGCACAGCAGTGCTTACTTTTGAGTAAATGCATATAGGGAAGAGTGCGGCCTCCAGAATGTATGGAGTCGGAGCCTTTCTGCATTAGGACTTTAGATAAATGGCCCTCTTTCTCCCCCCCCCCACCCCACACACACACTTTTCTGAAAGGAACAAGACTCATATCCCTCCTCCTCCAGCCCACCTTTCGTAAATCAGTTGCTACAGCTTGAAAAATCTCATCCTGACCCCACTGGTGGCGAAATGTACAATGAGCCACTGTTGCAGGAGGAAGGAGGCTGAGGTCATAAACTTTCTTTCATGGAATGACATTTAAAACATAAATTTCATTACGTTGACAAAGGGAGCTTTGTAGGTAGAAATCCATGGAGACCCACATGGCAGATAAACATCCTTGTCTGGTGCAAGCTTGCATTGTTGTGCAGCTTCATCACCAAATCGGCGGCTTCTCTGGCTGGAGGCCTGCACCTCCGTGTCACCGAAGCAGAGCCCGGAGAAGCTGGGCCGCCACCCACTGGGCTATGCCAGCCGAAGGACATTAAGTGAGCTCATGTTCCCTAGAGGACCTTCTCCTCCCTTTGTGCTGCATATGCGTGTGTGTGTTCAGACTTCACCAGAATGGGCTGAGCTCAATCTCTGTTCCTTTCTTTTCCTCGGCTCTGCCGACTGGGGCTTCTGGGAGTTGAAGTCCAGTCACATCTGGCCGGGCAAAACTTTCTACCCCAGTTTACAGTAATTATCGTTTGTTTGGTTCAGGTGTCACGGCAAATGGGTGGCTTCACCAGCCAGGGTGTTGGGGAGAGAATCGAAGTGCAGGAGACCAGGAGGGAGACGGTGAGCCCCATCTATGGCCCTGGGGTTCTTTCAGGCTTGGTGTGTCACTCACGACTGAGCTGGGCTTGTGGGTTTTCTATACCTGTCCGTATGGGGTCCTGTACCTGTCAGATTCTCCCCCCGGGATGAGGACGTTGTTATTTCTCACAGCTAACATTTTCCCATCAAGAACAAAAGCCAGACCCACACCCCCTCAGCATAGTCTGAAAGATAGATTTACAGTATTTACGTTTCATGTATTTGCCCTGACCTGCTGTCACTTGTCGAACATGGGTCTGTTTTAAAACGTTTCAGGCATTAGGAATTGTTCTTGTGGAAAATCCCCAGCTACAGCTGGAGCCAAATTTCCATCCCAGCAGGCAGCTCTACTTTTAAGAAAATATTTAGCTAACCTGTAGAAACGCAGCAAGGAACGCATGAATCTTTGTTCTTGGGGATGAGGTTAAAGGCATCAGACCATGTTTTGGGAGAGAGCAAAATGCAAAACTTAAGAGGCTGGTGCTGTAGCAATTATAAGTTTTGGCAAATCTCTACCATCTTTTTGAATGTAAACCAGCACATGCTAACTGGTAATGCATCTGTATCTCCAGAGCGTCACCACTGGAACAGCACTTCATCTGAGGGTAAAAGCAATTTATGTTCGTATTATATCCTCTTTTTTCCCCTTCTGTGATGAAACTGAAGCAGACAGACAGGAGTCACCCATCCAGCCCCTAAACTACCCGGTACCTACATAGTAGTGCTAGGTCATATCTGCTACGCCTCAGACCTTCACACCACTTTGCGGAACGGTTCCTGGGTTTCATTTCTAGTTAATCTCTGTTATACAACCAGATTCCCAGTGTGGTGTCGTGGATAGAGCGACACACAGGACTATGGAGAACAGGGCTGGAATCTCCGCTCAGCCATGGAAACTCACGGGGGGATTGGGTGGAACTAGTCAAACCTCTCCTTAAATATCTCACTTACCTTGAAAACCCTCTGAGGGTCGCTGAGACGTCCATTCCGACTTGGCAGCAGAGAGCACACACATAGGTAACTTGCTGGTGCACGTTATCATTTCCTTTTGCTGCAAACAAAAGTGGGGGAAGGAACGTTTCCTTCGTAGTGCTTACAGAAACCTGTCTAAACTTCAGCTGGACCATTTGCCTTAATATTGGCTACACGGATGGGCAGTAATAGTTCTCTGAGGCCTCAAGAAGATGTCTTCCAGCCCTGCTCAGAGAGCCTGAGGAGTCAGAGTCCGTAGGGAGGGCTGGGAAAGCATGTGTTCTGCCACAGGGAACCTGGCCGCTTCCGTCCCTGAATGGTTTTCTTGTGCTTGTGCCTTTCGAGAATCAGGCGAGAGGCTCGGTGGATCTGACCAAAGGCCAAGGCATTCCCTCCAGGGTTCTGTTCTCACTGGACTGGCAGAGGTTGCGGGGGAAGTCCTGTGGGCAGGCAGGCGTGAGCACTGCCCCGGCACCTTTCTCTTCTCTAAACGAAGCGAACACAATTAAGAGCCACTCTTGAATCTCCCGCCGTTCCACTTCCTAGGATAGAACCCTGTGAGTTCTCGCAACTTGGGAGAGAGGCCAACGCCCCTCTCAGCCCACATCCTCCCAGTCTTCCTCTTTTTCCCTTCCTGTCTGCACTTTGGTCACAGCGGTCGTCTAGCCATCCTGGTACTGTATCTCCTGGGTTTCTTTTCTTTGCGCCTCGTCTCCTTTTTTCGTGTCTTCCTCTTTTTCCCTTCCTGTCACCCTTCCTGTCTGCACTTTGGTCACAGTGGTCGTCTAGCCATCCTGGTACTTTATCTCCTGGGTTTCTTTTCTTTGCACCTCGTCTCCTTTTTTTTTTTTTGAAGGAACAGAATGTTTCCAGGTCACCAGCCGTATGATTTCCACGCCCACGGCCAGCTTGTGTGCAGATGGGTTCCTTTGTGTGTGTGTGTGTGTGTGTGTTGAAGAAGAAGCATCTCCAAGAGCAGACTCTGGCCCGCTGCCCAGCGGTTAAGTCACAGTTTCCAGAGACTGTGGAGATAACTTGTATATTGTTTTTCACATTTGGAGTGACTGAACAATAAGCATAACTTCTTAAAGTATTTGCTCATTACCTGGAAAGGATTCTTTAAGTCTTTTCCAAACACAAGTAAAGGTGGACCGAAACAAGCAGAGGCCTGCTGTTAGGCTCCTTCAAGCTGAGCTTGTGAGTCACATGGGGGTCTTTTTTGCTGGAGATGGCAGGAAGACTAAAGTGTGGGATTTTAAAAGGAACAGGAGCTCAGTTTCAATTTAATTCTAACATGCACAGCTCTGGCATATACTTACTGATCTGAAAGCAAGTCCTACTGAGCTCAGTGACAACAGGACCCAGCCAGGTTGCCAGAAAATTCACTTTACTTTGTTAAAACTTTTCATCAAATGTTTAACTTTAAAAAAAAAAAGAACAATATCAAGAGTCATTACATTTGCAGCCTTAAGCAAAGCTTAGAAAAGTTATTTTTATGGACAATTGCTGGATTTTAAAAGTTGCAGTTCCAAAATGTAACTTTACCAAGGTCTGGATTTTAAGGGCAAACAAGATGTTAGGTAGCAAGTGCACATGATTGCCCTCCGTTGTGCTTTGCTTGTAAGCAGAGTGAATTTGGACCTTGTAAACTGGATGGAGACGAGCAGGTGAAATAAAAGGAGGAGGAGAGCTAAAAAGAGGAGACCTAGAACTGCTGGTGTGGTTTTGTTTCACAATCCATTAAGCGTGTTTTCGTAGAAAACATGGACCACTCACTTCTTAATTCAACTGTGTATAGCACTCCTTTTATAATGATGTGTAAGTTTACTTCAAAGTAAAATTTGAAGTCAAGATGCCCTTCAGAGAACATCTGGTACTCAAAACCGCTTGGGAGGGTGCTTCTAATAATAAACTGGACTGGTTTGGGGCAGTTTCTTCTTTGGGCTGGCTGTGGGAGCTCTCCTCCAGCTCATTAAATCCCTTTGCATGACGCTGGCTAATTGTCATCCACAGAACTCTTCTTAATGTAGAATTCTAGAGGAAACAGCCATCAAGATCCCTGGAACAGCCATTTCCCACCTTCATGCAGACCTGAAATGCCTGCACCTAATTGTATCGATGATGGGGCCCGGAGGGTCGCCCCAGGCAGTGGAGCTGAGAGTGGAGAGATCTCCTCCTTTGGGGTGGAAGGCTGGATTTTTCAGGATTCACCTTTGCCCAGGGTCTGTCTAAATGTTGCACAACTGGCAGCAACATTCAACTGGTTGTTATGAAATTAAGTCTTCTGGCGGACAGTAATCTAGGCTGGGATCCAAAGGACCTCAGGGGCACACGAAGACTTGGGCGGGTCCTGTTCATATTTTGTTTTTGAACATTTATCCTTTTTCGAACAGCAAATCTTTCCCTGCTCCTCCCTTCGGCAGGACTTGGGAGAGTTGCTTTGTAAGGGCTATGGATCTGAGAATCTCCCAGTTAGCCCACTGACTAGGAAATTTGGGGAACCGAAGTCCAGAAAAATACAACAAAACCCACAGCTCTCTCAAGCCCTCCTGCCATAACTCCACAGCATGAGGGTCTCATGGTGTTGGATGAACTCTGGTAAGTTTTTAAAAACTCCACACAGATAAGACCCTGAAACGTTTCTCCTTCTCTTGCTCTTTGGAATAGGGAAAGTGTTTGTACCCAAACAGAAGCCAGTGCAGACGTACGTGGAAGAAAAAGTGGCTCTGGATCCTGAACTGGAGGAAGCCTTGACAAGCGCGACAGACAGTGAACTCTGCGACCTCGCAGGTTGGTGGTGCAAAGAGAGGGGCCTGGGCTTTGGCTTGCTCCAAGCAGCCTGCTTGCTTCTGGTGGGGGGTTGGGGGGGGAAGGAGCTGGGCTGGATGACCCTCGGTATCCTTTCCAGTGCCATCCTTCTCTGACTCTGCAGCAGGCGTGGCGCCTGTCCGTGGGAGCCCTTCTTGCAGGGCACCCCATGAAACTCGTGACAGTTGTGGATTTGCTTTATATTTTGAGTTGCCTTGCTGTGGGAACGTGACCTATATATTTCATACATGATTTAAAAAAAAAAAAAACAGAAATGGACACACTTTTTTATCATGAAAAAAGAATGTATTATTTTATCCAGTATTATGTATTTCATTTATATTCTGCCTTTTGCCCAAAACGTGGACTTGTGGCAGCTCGTGATGAGATCAACAAAGACGTACAAATAAAAACACTGAAATTATAATACTAAAACGCTCTTAAGGAAAAGTTCAATGCGTTTCAGAAATATAAGATTAATTTTAAAATTGAAGAAAAGGAGAACGAGGGTGGTGCAGTGGGCAGAGTCGGACTTGGGCAGTCGAGGTCCTCGTCCCCACAGAGTTGGGGAGCTCCGTTGGTGAGAGGAGACGGTTGGCTTTCTCTCCGGCTGACCTGCCTCACAGGTTGGTTGAAACTGGAGGACCAAGGAAGCAGGAGGGAAAGCCGCCCCTTCCCCGTCGCCCCCCCCCCCGAGCTTACTGGAAGAAAGGCTGGATATAAATGTCACGTCGTTATCATCATTGCTACTTTATCATAGCAGAACGAGAGGCGGTAGTGGTGGTGGTGGCGGCTTTCAGAGTTGCAAATGTGTATGTCGTATGCATGTTTAGAAATACAGTATAACGGGGGACAAAATGCCAAGTGTGACTTCAGAAGGTGTTTATTATTATTTTTCTTCCTTCCTCTCTCCTGCTAGCGATCCTTGGAATGCACAACTTGATCAGCAGCTCTCAGCTCCGTGATCTGGTGGGAAGCGGCAGCAACGGGGTCAGCAGCGAAGGTTTCTCCAGTAAGTGCCCAACGCTGCCCCGGGGGAAGAAAGCAGTCTGGGCAGGAGGAGGAGGACAGATAGATAGGCGGCGAGGCTTTTGAGGCCACCCTGTACTCTGTTCCGGGGCCATGATTGTAAAATTCTGTGAGCATCAGGGCTGTGACCCTGACCCTTCCCTCTGAAAGAGCTCCTCTCTGGGCCAAGTTGGAACTGAACTCAGTCTTGAGTTTATGTTCAAGCCCTTCTGGACTGATTTCCTTCCTTGAAGAACTAACAGTGATCCAAGCACGTCAGATTTCAGAATCTGATCGCTGTTCGCTGTGAATGGGTGTCTGTGCCAAAAGCATTTTTCCTGGAAGACTTTTGTAATGTGGTAAAGAATGAGAATTAAAAAGCGGTGAGTGATACAAACATGGCTTGCAACATCCCAGGAGAAACAGGCGTTGCTCTCCAAATCGAAGTGGAGAGGAGGAGGAGTGTGGCAAGCAGCTGTAATGGTTAGGCTTGCACGTCATTTAAAAAAAAGTGTGTGCACAAGAAATACACACATCCTCCAAATCGAAGTGGGGAGGAGGAGGAGGAGGAGGAATGTGGCAAGCAGCGGTAATGGTTAGGCTAGCATGTCATTTTTTTAAAAAGTGTGTGCACAAGAAATACACACATTGATTGTGAACAACAGCAACAGTTCTTTGTTGTCCCCGTGGGGAAGGCTGCCCACTTTTAAGCTTCGTTTAAACATAGATATTGGCTCCCTATGAAAATGTCAGTGCAAAATAATATGTGAGTTTATGTGATGCTTCTCTCTTAAATCAGACATTGTCAGAGGGGAAAGGATGGTGCCCGTCTTTGATGAGCCTCCCAATCCAACAGATGTGGAAGAGACTTTGAAGAGAATTAGGGAGAATGATCCTCGTCTTGTTGAAGTTAATCTGAACAACATAAAGGTAACTGTCCGCAGAAGGGGTTTCCTTGCTGCCTGTGGAACTCCCTGCCAAAGGAGGCTAAGCAGTGCCCCTTTCTGTTGCCGTTACCCTGGCTGGCAAAGACTTCTTCATTAAGGCAGGGTTTTTTGTTTTGTTTTGTTTGGCATCTGAAAGATTGCTCAGGAAGAGAAATGTTACTAGTTGGGTGCTGTAATTTTCTTATCAATGCGTATCTGAATCATATTTTTAATGCTTGAAAAGTGTGCATTCAGTTCTGCTTTATTCTTTGATCTTGTTTTGTGTTCTAATCATATGCTTTAAAATAAATAGAACAGATGATGAGATGAGGCATGTAGGAGCTTAGTTTTCAAGATCTCTTTGGGGGCATCCTCTCCTCATGCAGTTATAACCACCTGATGAGGTGGGGAGGCCCCATTCACGGGTCCTGTTGCAGCCACTCCTTCTTCATTAGGCCCAGCTCTGACATGGCAGTCTTCTTGTTTTGGCATCTGTTGAGATCTTGGGTCTATGTTGCCACTTTTAAAAAGAGGGGATGACAAGATCCTAGATGTTGTTGGTCTGTAATTCCCATCCACCCACACCAGGATAGCTAGTGGTCAGTGATGGTAGGAACTGTGGTCCACAGGCCACTGGTTCTCCACTTCTGTTGTAAGAAACAGGTATGTTAGGTAAAGGAGTCAAAGAAACACAGATTACAATCCTAAAACAATTTCCAGCCATCATGCTTGACACTTTCTTTTTAATTTTATTTCAAGAATATTCCTATTCCAACATTGAAAGAATTTGCCAAGGCACTGGAAACAAACACCTACGTGAAGAGCTTCAGCCTTGCAGCTACTCGGAGCAATGACCCCGTGGCTGCCGTAAGTGACACACAACATTTTGCCATTTCCAGTTGTCTGTTGTGTAATTCAATGTACTTGGAGGACTCAAGTCAGTTGGACAGGCAACTGTTCAGAACAGCTGAGTTCAGGTCCAAGCCAAAACTGATCAGAGGTGCTCCCAGTGTCTGTCGCTCTTTGGCCAACCTCAGAAACAGTCCAGATCCGGGGGTGGGGGGGGGGGTGGGGGGCAGCTGAGGAATGGACTTGGATGGTAGGGTTTGGGGGGGGGCTTGGAGCTGAGTCATGAGGCTGGGGTGGAGGTCTAGAGGGTGCTTCTGCTTCTACCACTTGGCCAAGCTTGCAGGGGAAGCAAAGTGCCACACTTTGAAGGGCCCAAGCACCAGTGGTCATGCTCCCAAGCAGTGCAGATTGGCCCTGAAATGAGCCAATAGTAGGAAGACTGAAAATCAGTGCTTGCTGGAAGCCCTCTTTCTCATTTCATTGCATTATGGGTTGCATGTTGAGGGGGGTTGCAACTCCTTTCACTGCAAACCACCGGTCTTGGGGGGGGGGGCTTCAGGAGCAGAAAATGGTGCCTTTGGCAGAACTGTTTGCAAGAGAAGGACATCCAGACCCTCCAGAATTAGACATGGAGAGAATGGGATGGGCAGTCCTGAGGGGCCCCCTTTGGTCCGTTGGATAAAGCAGCCTTCAGTGTGGTCAAAGGGCCCAGGGAGGGGATGAGGCCTGAGGCTGGGAGGGCCCATCTCAAAGGAGGAGGCAGCCTTCTGTTTTTGTTTCCACCCCCTCACTGGCAACCCGTGTTCTTCAAGGCTTTTGCAGAGATGCTGAGGGCAAACAGAACACTGAGGAGCCTCAACTTCGAATCCAACTTCATCACAGGGGTGGGCGTGCTGGCCCTGATCGATGCCCTCAAAGAGAACGAGGCCCTGACCGAGATCAAAATTGATAACCAGGTAACCTCGATGTTTGCTCCGTTCATCCCAGGGAGACTTTTCTCTTCAAAATCCTTTGAAGTTTCCTTCTTTGAAGTACCTTTTCCTTATACATCCTTCTGCATCCATTCTGTTCAAAATGAAAGTTGTAGAGTGTAGTTGGCACCTGACAGAAAAGGTCCCCTTTAGCCCCAATGGATCCATTCGCTAGAGCTGCTGCTAGCAAAAGCTGAATATCATTTACCTCAAAGGTTTGGGTGCCCTTTCTGCCACCTCGACTTTGCCACTACTCAGATGCCATCCCGAGATTGTCAGAGTTTGTCCTTTCAGCAACTCTGTTTTAACCAACTGGCCTTTGGTGGCTTCTGGTTTCTGCCGATTCTAACAGAGGCAGCAGTTGGGAACACCGGTCGAAATGGAGATTGCAAAGATGCTCGAGGAAAACAGCAAGATCCTTAAATTTGGATATCACTTCACACAACAGGGACCACGAGCCAGAGCAGCTGCCGCAATTACAAAAAATAATGATTTAGGTAAGTAAAGCAGATTAAAAGATAAAATTAGCTATTAGGTCCAGGAGGATGATTAGAATTTGGAGTTTCCTAATGCTTTCTACAGAGTAGAACATCACACAAGAGGGGAGCTTCAAGTTACTTATTCACATTTCTCCATTAGGCTATGAGACTTGAGATGGGGGAAAAAGAATGTAGTCCAAAGACGTGGCCAGATTTTGTAGCCATTGGTCTTTAGTTGAACCAGGTTCCAAGGCAGAAATCGAGGTGAGCCGACTCTTGCTGTTGCAGGAGCCGGTGTGATGCTGAACTGGGTGGTTGTTATTTTGCGTTCTAACTGAGTATCTCTTAACAGTAAGTGCAGTTATTTTAAACATCCAGTTCTCTATGTGGCATGCGCTGTGGAAGATATAAGAAGGTTCCTCTTGGATCAGGCTGAGGGCCAGTCTGGTCCTGTGCTTGGTCACCTATCTCTGGGAAGGCTGCTCAAAAGGCAGGAATTTGAAGGATGCCTCCAAAGGTTCCCCCCCCCCCAATTTGTGCCCGCACACTAAATGTCAGAAAGAGCAGATAGCAACTGCTGATGGCCGGATCCACTTATGTGGCTCTTCCCTTTTAAGTTGGGGATCCAGATGTTGCAACGGAGAGCATGCCGTAGTTAAAGTATGCACCGCAGCCCTGTATAGTACTTTTAAGTCCGCTTACGATTTTATTGTGATGCTTGGCAAAGCAGGAGCAAAGGGCTGCAGATGCAGGCAGAACAGATGCTTGATGGTCCGAGTGCCGCCAAGGAACGAGGAGCCTTCTGTGGGCCCGAGAGTGAAAAGCCCCTTTGCTGCCGCCAAGTAGTTACGGGCTTGAAGGGAGAATAACCCAGGCCCTTTATTTCCGTGTTCAGATGGGTCCCTGCTCGTCTGAAACTTCCCCATGCTAGGCACACACATATATATGCCAGCTGTCATAGTTCCTTGCTGGGAAATCTGCTCTTTATCATCTGTTGATCTCGTACCTTTTTTCCTTCTTTTTCTTGCTTTCCTAGTCTGGCGCATAGGAGTAAAAATGTCTGCAAATGCCCTTTCATCTCTTCAGCCCTGAAGCTTTCGAGGCAGGTTGTTGCGAAGGCCCGCCTGGGTGCTGTGCACTGGGAAATAAGTCTTTGTTTAAAACCTCGTGTCCGTGTCCCTGTACGTCTTCCCTAACAGGCTCTCTGTGTGTCTTTGCTCCTTGTTTTTCTCACACTCATGCGCATGCTTGCTTTGCTCACCAGGAGGGGCCTAGGCAGGAGTCGTCTTCCAACTTCATTATTCTCCGTCATAAAGAAAACGCTGCGCAGTTTTATTCCTAAGCCACTTTCCAGTATAGTGGTGGAATGCAGTCGTTAGAAGCTGCAGCAATAGGGCAGCGCTGGCCATGGCTAGCTAGAGGGGTTAAGACCCAGGCCCACACTTCTGGAGGGTAACGGGATGCCCTTTTAAACGCTATACACAGTGTTTGTCAGGTGTGAGCTAAAGAATCATAAGTAAAAGGAGAATGGAAACACTTGTGCTCACAAGGTGCAATAATTAGGGCTGCAGCCCTCGGAGAAAATTACTGGGCTGTTTATTAATATAGGCCTGTTTGCATACATGATAAATGCTGTTTCTAAAGCAAGAAATTGGGGGGCAACTGTGCTCCTCCCTATGTATTAGTCTACCTAACATGGTTAGTGCTGAAGGATCATAGAAATTGCAGTCCAGAAATATCCAGAGAGACAGAACTGCCCACCTCTGCTTCCTCTGATGGGCACCGAGTTTTATGGATCCTTCCTAAAAGCAAGGGTTGAAGCGATGGTGGGGTGGGTTGTTTTTTTAATAGTTTAACTTTAATAAGAGAATATTTCAACGTACGATGAGGTAGACAAAAACAGTGAATGAAAGGTCCCATCGTTCTGATTGTACAAAAAAAGAGACAGCAGTCTGCCACAAACATACAGAGTGCATGTTGGAGCAAAGAAGACACGTGTCAGGACTCCCACACTTCTGTATCAAAGGGACCCACTTGCTGGCCTTTTCATGTGATGCAGGGCTTTCTGTGATGTGCTGCTTTATGGTACCCATGTGGCAGGACCCTGGACCTGGTTTTGAGAGTCCTAAATAATCTCCAGTGTCCTTGCGGTGCAGCTGTAACGCTGAGGAGGAATAACTGCAGTGATGGTCTGCCGCCTGGGATGGGCAGGAGCCCCAGAGCGGTGGTGGTTTTGCTGGTTTTAAAACCACACCACCATCCCCCCCCCACACACACCCACATACTCTTTCCAGCCTCAAGGTGTTCTTCAGGTCCAGCTTGCCTTTTAACGTTAGGCTTGTCGAAAGTGCAGAAGAGGATTGTGGGAGGGTTTTGTGTTTGTTTGTTTTTTCCAGTCCAAAACGGTGAGCTTTCCTAACTCTGAAGGGGAGCTCTCAGGTTCTAGGCCCTGATGGAGCCATGAAGTTCCCTGTCACTCTTTCTTGACCTGACCTGCCTCGCAGGGTTGCTGTCAAGATGCAGCCGGAGAGATGGCCAGAGAACGCCACCTTCAGTCCACTGGAGGAAAGACAGGATATAAATGTCACAGCTTGCCTGTGGAAACCTGAGTGCAGTTTTCTGTCTGTGACATTAATCCTCACCTTTCCTCCATTCGTCTCCTTCTGCCCACTTTATTCTTGTGGCGGAAAGGTGAGGTTGAGGGCAGGACAGGCAAACTGGTCCAGACTGATTTTCAGGGCAGAGCCAGGATTCAAACCCGGACCTCCTGAGTCTCCAGCTAGTGCTCAACCACCACACCACACTGGTCAGGATGTCTTAATGGCAATCACTGCAGTTCTTGCTTCCAGATAGATTGGCTGTTAACAGGATGTTCTTTCTGTAACTGAAACTGGGTCAACCTAACTGTTCTTTTCTGGTGTTGTTTTTGTTTCCGCCCCCCCCCCCAACCTGGGAACAGTTCGCAAGAGGAGAGTCGAAGGAGACCCCCAGTAAGTCTTCCCCTGCCAGACGTGCCTGGTTTGGAGAATTGGAAAACTCCTCCAAGTGCCTCTGCTTTGCTTGGGCGTCAAAGACCCTGAGATTTCCTCTTACCTGGGTAGAAGGGAAAAGACTGGAAGCGTCATTCCTTCCCCTGTTCTTGTTTGTTGGTCTGATTGTCTGTCTCTCTGTCTTTGTAAAGTTATGTGGATCTACCCAATATCCAACCTATGTAAGCCTGAGAACCTGGTCATCCCATGACAGCCCCGACTGCTGCTGAAAACCCCGTTTTACTTCCAGATAGGGGGCAAGTGTTTTCCCAAAAGATAACTGCTAGATGGGTGGGATACGTGGACTAGCAGCAGAGCACCCGGTGCTAGTGGCGAAAGAGCAAATGCTTTAAACCAGTTCCTGTGAGTTTCCAAACAGAAGACCTGGAGGTCCTTCCTGGGGCATCAAGGCTTTTGGACATTTTGAAAACAGTCTGTTAATGGGGGGCGGGAGGGGGCGGGGGGAGAAGCGAGCAGGGGGAATCCTACAAAGGACATGGATAGCTTACTTTGTCCCTCTTGCTTGTGCTGGAAGACTGTGGCATGACGTCTCTGCTACGGCTGGTGCTCCTTCCTGGCGCAAACCCTGTGGCTCATCCCCACGAGGACAGGCCCACAGAATCGACAGACATGTCCACGAGCCATTCAGCCGGTGCCCCTCAGTGGGTCAGCTCTGGGCAGCAAAAGCGGTCACCCCCTTGGCTCATGGTCTTAAGATGCTGTGACCATTTTTGTTGTACTTTCTTTATACAGAGGTTCCGCTTGAAACGCCTCTCGGTAAGGGAGGGCGATTCCACTTTCAAGGGCTGCTTGTGCCATCTCTTACGTAACGTTACCTCTTCAAGGGAGCCTAAGCTGACTAAAAAGAGGAGGCGGGAGGAGCGTGAAGGCTTTGCAGGGGAGAGGGTTCGGTTGCCTTTCCCCCCCACCCCCCTGAATGTACAACCTGTGGCATTTCTGCCCTTTGTCCTCTTGTGTCTGAACTGGATATATTTATGGCCATTTTGAATCTCCTGCCTAGCCTGGGGCCTTGTGGGAAATGCAGCTGGCCCAGGCTGTGGGAAAAAAGGCAGCTTCTTCATATTTGCACAGTTCCCCAAAATGACTCTGCATTGCATGTCGGAAAATCGAAAAGGTGGCTCTCTTTCCCAAACACCCAAGCCCTTCTGCCAAGTCAGTTCTAAGCCAGCGGAAATGCCACTGGGTCCTTCTAAGGAGAAAGGCAGGGCAACGATATTTTAAACAAATGTATTAATTAAGAGGAGGCCTGTCAAGGGCCATTTTACCTATGGCCCTTGAGTGCTAGAGTGAGACCTTACTCTGCCATACCCGTGGCTACAGGGGGGAGGAAAACGAAGCCTTCCCTGCTTGTGCTGCCCCCTCCCCGGCCATTGGATCCTTCCAGCACCTGTTCCTGAGGACAAGCCCCCGAAACCCCGGAGGTGAGTTTAGTTGCCACTGAAATGAGGTGCTTGTTTGGGTCACCTTCATCCCCCAGCTCTTGTCCTCTCTCAGGGTATGCAGAGGACGGTAGAGAGATGAGGGGCAAGGGGAAAAAAACAGCTTGGAAGAATCCCATGTTTTGATCACAGCCCTCCAAGTGGTCCCCCAAACTGGCCTCAGCGTCTTATTGCCAGACTGGCCGGAGGGTGGGAGTGTTATTGAACTCTTGCCCCAAAAAGCAACTTATATAAACTTTGCAAGCAGGGGTGCAGTATTGCACCCATTCTGTCTGTGGGACAGGCTCCTCAGGTCAGCTGCAATTTCATTTAAGTTCAGAGCTCCGTCTTCTGGGGCCGGGGGGGGGGCTGCAAACCCACAGGGGGCTTCCTGTGTCCTGTGAGAAAAGGAAAATCGGTGTGAGGAGTCTGGAGGCTGGGGTGGACCTGGGATGGCACAATTTGAACCTCTGGTGGACAGGAAGGTTTTCATCTTCAACGGGGTCTCTCCCATTCCCTGTGTGCCTCTCTAGAGAGGCAGCCGAGGCCTGGCCCCTCTCGCTAAAGGAACAAAGAAGGAGCTGTTTTTAGTGACGTTTCCCATCCCTGCAACCACCCCCAAATTCCCCTTAGAGCACGGGAAGGCCCCTCAGGAGCAGATGGAGGGATGCAAGAGGTATTATGAGAAACGGCCTTCTTCCTTGTTCCACAGGTAGACATCTTCCCTTGACAGAGTACCTGCAAACCAACACAGGCTTCGGTTTTTAAAATGTATACACATAGGCCATGGGGCAGCAGTTGCACTTCTGTGTTCTTTGTGCATCCGGGTCTCGTTTGGAATTGCTCTGCGGGGGCCAATGGCTCCTGGTGAGCCTCTTTGAACCCATGGTGCTCTACGAGCTTAAAACCAAAGCATGTGAAGCCAGGGGGAGGGAGCCTCTGCCTAGTGTGACTAGGGCAGGGTTTCCCCTCTCTTCAGGGTGGCTGCAGTTAGGCCTCCCCTGTGAGGAGGACTGAGCACAGCCAGGTGGGAAATGGCTCTCCATGCCTGCAGGGCCGAATAGGTTTCCAATGTTGCTGCTTTCCAAAGCAATTGATGGAAGTTCCTGCCCCCGCCCTCTGTCGTCAGGTGGGGAATCTTCTTCAGCCACTGGGCAGGTTGTGTCTGTTTAATCAGGTGAAATTCCGGACTTGTTGGTGCTACAGCTTGCAGGATGCAAATTCCAGTCAAAGGTGAACAGATTCAGGTGAAAAGCTCTTTTATTCTCTAAACTCAGGTGAGAAAGCATGTGCCCCTCCAGCTGCTCTTGAATTGCAGCAACCACCCACCCAAAATAGCTGAGGATGAGGATGACTGGAGGTGCAGTCCAGGCACATCTGGAGAGCCACGCATTCTTCAGCCCTGCTGTACAGCCGGGGATGACCGTGCTGTAGGGGACAGTTTCCCCAGTCCTTGCCCGTCAGCCCTTCTGGCTGGGGTTTGCAAGTGTCCCAGCATCGGAAGGACACCAGTCTGTTCTTGCCTGCTCAGGACGTAGCTATCAGCCTCAGGCGACCTGGACACTGGACCAAACCTACAATGAGCCATCCTTGTGGGTTGGTGGCCAGTTTGCCAAAATTCCAACGATGCCAGGGCAAACGGTTTGAGTTTGTTAAAATATGCACTTATCCCCATAGTTAACCTCGTTCTGTCCTCGTGCTTTGTGGGCTGTCTTTAGATTCCATCCGTAAGACCTCAATAGAACATTTACACATTATACAACAAATTAATGTGCTCATACTTACACTGTTTACAAATATTATCTTCTCTTACTATTTTTGATAACAAATAATGCTGTGTGTGGGCTGCAAATTGAGGGAGTCAGTTCTGGTCTGTTGAAGAAGCAGGAGTGGTAATGTATTGGCATTCCAGCACTCTATGCTGTCATTATTGTAATAAAATATCCAAAAGGCATTCCTCCATTGTATTGTTACTGAAAAAAAAATCAATCCTCTCCCCATCTTTTATCATTTCATATTAAGTCTCGGGCTGCATCCAAATTGTCATGGTTTTGTTTTGGCTTGATTTTTAAAAAACAAACGCTTGAAGGACTTTTGTGCATGAAAACATGCTGGAGACGTTCCTGTGAAAAATGTGACCAGCTGTAATTCTAACCTCATTTGCTGTGTATTTTTGGAGACACAAACGCTGTTCAAGCATAACAGAAGTATGCCAACATGAAAGCGCGTGGGATCCTGTTCGCAAAAACTCTGTTTAGGAGGAAGCGTGTAGGACGAACAGCCCTGGCTAAGCCATGGTTCTCCCTGCCATTCCTAGCTTTACTCTTTGTGGTAGGGTGCAGGGGGTGCTGGTGGCACCGTTACTTTATCTAAGGGGGGCTGCATAGTTCTAGCTGCTCCACACGTTCTCCCTCGCTGCAGGTCTGGCTTCAGTGCCCTCACCAAAAGCTTTTGGGGCTTTGCAACCTCAGGAAGGTCCTGCTCGCACTTAAAACCTGTGCTGGAGGCTGCCCACCACTGCCTGGAAAGCCACTGAAATTTCCCACAATGGGGTAAGTGGCACGTCTGCAAAGGAGAATAAGAGACCCTTTCCCCAAACCCTCCACCATCACGATGGGCACAGCAGGACATGGTGCAAAATGTAGGACACTGTTTCATTGGCTTTTCCCAAGGGTGAATACGAACTGAGAAGCATGTGTCTGTAGGAGAACAATTACCTTTGCTCAGTCTTGTTAGCCCAAGGGTCAGGTCAACCTGGAGCCCATGTACGTGTCTTTTTGTTATTTTGCTAATTTCATCAGGAATACTCACTCGGTGGAGGCCACCTGTGTGTAAAAGTCATTCAGAGATTAACAAGCACAGTGTGTTCTGAAGAATATTATTGCCAAGCTGGCATCCTGAAGCCTTACGCTTTGATCTGATGCATAACTCAACTGCAAAATAAGCCACATTTAATAGCACATTAGAGACGGACAAACATAATTACGACATAAGCATGTGTAGATTCTGTTCTACCAGTGTAAATGGGTGAAATTTTTTGGGGTGCTAGGAATC